TTTTCTTGCCTCAGTTGTTTCTCCTAGGTATTACACAAAATTTGGACGTAAAAGAAACGAACTTGATGTTGTATTGTTTAACTGCTGCCCGTTTGTTGATAGCTCAAAATTGGAAGAGTAAAGTTTTACCTACAATGGAGGACTGGAGATTGAAGGTTTCACATCTTGCTGAAATGGCAAAAATTTCGGCTTATCTGAATGAACAATTTTTATCAATATGGAGAAGATGGATTGTTTATATTCAAAATAAGCATAGAATGGTGGAATATAATTTAGGTTTTTAGATAATTTTTTTTATATATTTCACCTATTTATGTAGAATAATATTTTGTGGAGTTAGGGATATTAATACTAGTTTACTTTTAGTTGAATAGTATCCTGGGATTAGGTTTGGGAAGTCCGGGGGTGGGGGGTGGGGGGTAGGGTTTTTACATTGTGATGTATTTGTGATGTGCTTTTTTTTAATGATGAAAATAATAAAAATTTATATTTGACAATCAAAGAGATTGAGTAAAAAAAGTCAGTTTCCGTTCACTTTATCTTATTAAGCCATCATGTTGCTGGTTAGTTTCTGATTTTGTATAACAGTGGTGGCGAACCAATGGCACGGGTGCCAGAGGCGGCACTCAGAGCCCTCTCTGTGGGCACGCGCGCCATCGCCCCAGTCCTAGGCCTTCAGCTGGGTTTTATAAAACCATTTTGCTTTAGGCATCCGCCGCCATGTGCAAAAAAAAAAAGGTTCAATCAATCAGTCAATTTCAACTTCTCGCAGGGGAAAAAAAAGATCTTGCAAAGTTGGAATTGATTGATTGAACTTTTTAGTCCCACCCAGTCTGTCGTTACCACTGCAGCCACGCCCATCCAATGGGCCACACCCCAATTGGCTACACCCAGCCAATGGGCCACACCCAGCCGGCACCCGAGGATGCATAAGTGGGTTTTGGGTTGCAGTTTGGGCACTCGGTCTCTAAAAGGTTCGCCATCACTGTTGTATAAAGTATGAATGCAATATTACAATTTACTGTCATGTGCTGACCAGGCTTTTTTAGATTCTCAAGAGAGAAAATCAATACAACACATTATTTCAGAATTTGTCATCTTTATTATACAGACATCTAATTTTTTCCCCAGCAAGCCTAATTTACAGACAGAATACAATATTTCATTACTCCCTCTTCTGCTATCCATTTGATATAAGAGTAACCACTTGCAATTGTAAATTGCAGAGTGACAAAATGTTTTTCTCTCTACTTAATATTATATAGCTAAGTGCTTTCTAAATAAATGTGCATGCATTTAACGAAGGTGAGATACGGTATTATATAGGTGCACTATTCTATCTCCTGCCTACTTCTTGATTTAGAATTAATAAAGGACTTAAGATACTGATGACTTATTTTCCCACTGTTCAATATGTTAGCAACTGGTTATTCTCTGTCTGGTAAAATATTGGACTTCTATTATTTTTGATCACTGTTCACTGTTGCTGATTTTGAAAGTGTAAACAACTGCACATAAATAGAAAATATGCACTCAAGGACAGAGAAGGACGTTGTATTTAACTTTGCACCATGTAATGGTTCTGTTGATTTAGGGAAATATCTAATTTGACTGGGGGTACTTAATCTTTTGCATGAACTGTAAATATGTCTTTCAATCTATACTTTAGTGATATGATAATTATAATATCATGGAATATTAAGTTACAGGTAATCTTCGGTTAACTACTTTTCCAATGACTCTTTGAAGATGCAATGACACTGAACAAATGGTACTTACATCCAGGCCTCAAAATTATATCTGAATACCTGAAAGATAGTAGGTTACCTACACCTGTTTGTAGGCAACCATCTGGAGCATTATTTCATTTGCCTATTAATATCTGCCCAGCCCAGTTCAACTTGCAGAACCAATCTAAAAGGAATAACTATTTTTGCCCCTAGTCAAATTATCCTACTTATACTAGAAGAGATAGACAGAAGAAACATGAACACACACTTCTTAATTGTTGCCAAACAAGTACTTGTTTCAGCGCATTGTTACATACACTAATTTTAGAGAAAGAATGCAACTTACGCACAACTTCTCCATCACTCATTAAGTAATTTTTCATTCCATCCACTTATTACTATACCTTTCTCCATAACCCTGACTTTGATTTTTCCTGGTGTAATATTCATATCTGGAGGGTTTTTAACATCACAGATATAGGTTCCATTGTCCTGAAATTGCATGTTTGCTATAGTGATTGATGCATCTTTTCTGTTAAGGTCTCCAGCCCATCTGCTTCTGTCACCAAATTGTGTACTCTTCGCACGATATGCTTTTCCATTGGAATAATAGAAGAACTATAATCAAAAACACAAAAAATATGCTCTATTAAAAACCTGCTTTCCCCTATTTCTTAACTAATCTAAATTTCTTTAAAACTCAACTCATACAACACATGAATTTCAAACCAGTGCAAGAGTGACAATGATAATACTCTACTTGAGAGCCTGTAAAGCTGGTTTTAAACCAGTTGAAAGGTCAGAGAAATATTTTACACATAATATCACAAGAATTTTAAAGGTTTCAGAGTAATTCCAGCTCAGTTATCTTGCTCTGCCTCACTTTCCTCAATTCTGTTTTTTCCCCCAAACTACTGAACTGATAACTATTACTATTACATGATTTCCTTCTGGTATTAATTTTTTATTTTCCCATCATATTAAGATAAAAGATAACTAACCAAGCAGGTGAAGTGGATTAAAACATTTCCTCATCTAAGCAAGGCTTTTGGTAGCAACCAATTTTGGAGCAAAATACAATTAATATCTTAACTAACATTTCAAGGGAACAATCAGGCTTTTAGTAGTACAAGGAGCAAGCAAGAACAGGCAGGGCTTTTTACTCCTTACAATTTTCTTTTGCAAACAATATCTTACCGAGACAAGAGATGATGATCCCTCGCCTTGGAAACTCCAGGTGACAGAAGTTGAACTGCTGATCACTTCTGTGGAAGTAAAAGTGCATGGAAGCTTTGCTTCAGTCCCATTCTCCACAGGAAAGTCTGGCGGTGTGTATACCTCCGCAGCTGAAACCTGGACTATCAAGAACATAATTACAAGAATCAGAATCCTTCATAAATATTAACACTATATCAAACATAGGTATGAAGAGTTTAATCAGGCAAACATAGATTGAAGAATCTATTAAATCAAAGAGATTGAGTAAAAAAAGTCAGTTTCCGTTCACTTTATCTTATTAAGCCATCATGTTGCTGGTTAGTTTCTGATTTTGTATAAAGTATGAATGCAATATTACAATTTACTGTCATATGCAGACCAGGCTTTTTTAGATTCTCAAGAGAGAAAATCAATACAACACATTATTTCAGAATTTTTCATCTTTATTATACAGACATCTAATTTTTCCCCCAGCAAGCCTAATTTACAGACAGAATACAATATTTCATTACTCCCTCTTCTGCTATCCATTTGATATAAGAGTAACCACTTGCAATTGTAAATTGCAGAGTGACAAAATGTTTTTCTCTCTACTTAATATTATATAGCTAAGTGCTTTCTAAATAAATGTGCATGCATTTAACGAAGGTGAGATACGGTACTATATAGGTGCACTATTCTATCCCCTGCCTACTTCTTGATTTAGAATTAATAAAGGACTTAAGATACTGATGACTTATTTTCCCACTGTTCAATATGTTAGCAACTGGTCATTCTCTGTCTGGTAAAATATTGGACTTCTATTATTTTTGATCACTGTTCACTGTTGCTGATTTTGAAAGTGTAAACAACTGCACATAAATAGAAAATATGCACTCAAGGACAGAGAAGGACGTTGTATTTAACTTTGCACCATGTAATGGTTCTGTTGATTTAGGGAAATATCTAATTTGCCTGGGGGTACTTAATCTTTTGCATGAACTGTAAATATTTCTTTCAATCTATACTTTAATGATATGATAATTATATCATATAATAATAATAATAATAATAATAATAATAATAATAATAATAATAATAA